AAGTTATTCAATGATCCAAACTCTTATGTTTTTTATTATGAACTGAGAATTATTTGTTTCAATCTATATTTTTCCCTATTTCAACCAAAGTTTTAATTAAAATTGTATTTTATAAACTCGGTTTTTTAAAACGTCATAGTTTGGTATAAATTGGTATAATCCCATTTAATGGTCCATCCTATATAATTTTATAAAGTTATAAATAGATAAATTAAAGGGAATAAAAAATTCATGGAGTATACATTTTATGAATGGCATTGTTATAAATAAAGTTCAAAATGAAATCCAAATTTTTTTTTTTTTTTGGTTTATTTGCGGCACCATTTAGTTCATGCNGTGACCAGCCAACAATTTTGGAGACCATTGAATTGTTCTAATGTTTGTGTAAGCAATAGGCATTATACAACATTTATCATGGAAATGTTAAAATTCTTAAATACGTAACTTTGACATATATTTATGCGNAATCATTACAAAGTTAAGTAGCTTTTGGTGATGCTTTATTAGATTCGGGTGACAAACGAGTACATTTGCTAAACCCATTTGATAAACGAGCCGTGTTCGTGTGACTAGTTTAAATAAAATTAATATTAAATAAATTAATAATTATTAAAAAAATAGTCAGAATAATATATAGTTATTAATTAGATAAATTTAAAATAAATTTAATAATAATTGTTCAAATGATGTTGAAATAAATGGGGTTAAAAGAGTTATCGTATTAACTCGACTTTATCTAAAATTCAGTTTTATTTATTANCTCTAAACCAATAATTTGTTCAAACTTTCCCACCTAATAAGTGATTATGCATGGCATGAGTGTGAGTAACTTAGGAGCTGGGAGGAAACGTGACGTTAAGGTTGTGGAATGAATGATTGTGATAACACATGAGTTGAGAATTGAGAACTTTGTGGTGGATGTACATCAGATAGACTGGTGAAGCAGTTAGGCTCATTGAGAGAAGTTGGCTGGAGTTTTTTTCACTATTGGTGAATCTTGGGTGTGCAAACTGGTTATGGGGACTCATTAACGAAGCTCAAAAATGGAAGAATGGTGGGATATTTTCTGAAAGTTTAGGGGTCTTGTTCATTGTGTATACGTAGGAAATAGAAGATGATATTTTATTGGAGTGACAAAACTGCAGAATAATGGTGGTGGAAATAGATGGATTATTACTAAAAGTATACATGGAACTGGGTGGAATGATTTAGTTGAGTTGACTGAAGCAGTGATTCATGGAAGTAAAAGCAATGGTGAGTAGAGGGGCAAGATTAATAATAAGCTTTTAGTGAAATATGAAGGGAAACGACATGCATGGTTATTAGTGACAACGGGAAGTGGAGTTGTGCTGTTCTGTGTATTAGGGAATGCTTGGTTCATCCATGGAAGAAAATTCATATGATATGACATTGAAAAAAATGTGGAAGTTTAATGTTGAATGGAGTCCTTTTCAGGCTGACTAAGCTGTCTGTTTTTTTTTTCTGCAGAATTGTTCAAAATGTAGGCGCAATTTGTAAGTATGCAAAATGATTGCTTGAAGGGTCAAAAGTCATTGATGTTGAGGTTATGGAAATGTAATCTCAAGCTAAATTTAGTAACGTAAAAGGAGATGGATTAGAATTAGAGGAATCTTGTTTTATTTTTGGTTTGAAGATGTTTTTGTAAAAATAGTAGAATGGTGTGAGTATCATCTTAAACATCTGGAAGGCAAGCTTTGAATTCAATGGTCTAGGCCTGGTTGAAGAAGGGTAGGAGTATCGATTATAATTGTTACGTTTAACCCTAAAAAATTTGGAGCTTTGTAATAGAAAAAGTGAGTTAGTGGAAGCNTTTGAAGATGTTTTTGTAAAAATAGTAGAATGGTGTGAGTATCATCTTAAACATCTGGAAGGCAAGCTTTGAATTCAATGGTCTATAGGTCTGGAATTCTACATCTTCAAGTTGGGCTGGACAGTTTGATGAAGGAATATTTGACAATATTGAAGCCCACAATGAGTTGAATGGCTTGCTTGAGTCTATAGGGGAAGAAGGATGTAGTTACAGGGAAGATATCATGACTTCATATGATGCTTCAACAGTGGTTGAAAAAATTGTTAATGTTGGGGGGTCTATTTAATAGCAGAAATACGGGGTCTTCTCAAATGGTATTTAGTCTGCTTGACATGAGGTGGTGAGTCATAGGCAATAGTGAACATAGAGGCTGAGCGAGAGCTGATGAAGAAAATGAGATTGCTACGAAGGAATCATTTAAACTAAATTCTGAGCTATTGTTCCCTTTTGATCCCATGTTTGGGGAAAATAGGTGCTTGTGGTACGGGTGTGGGTGGGATGGGTCTAATCTATTGTTTTGACACCTTATCTTGTTTGCGTTCTTTTTGTATGAGCTCGTTGTAATGATTTAAATTTGAATGACAAAATACTATAAGGAGTGTGACAATATGGTGTTTCCTGATCATAGTTGGGGTGGGAATGATGTTCTGGATGGTAATGTTGATACTTGATAAAATTGGGATGAGAAAGATGGGGCTGGTGATGCTGGAGTAGGGTGAGATGGTTGAATTAGTTGAAGAAGAATGGTTCCTTTAGTTTGATGGGCGAGCTGGTTGAGGTTGGAATCTATTTTAGACAAGATTAATATCTTGCTCGTGAGGAAAAGATACACAAGAATTTTTTTTTTTTAGCATGGGTAAGTTAGGAGAGAGCAGAAAAAATTTAAAAAGAGTGTTTCAAAAGAAAAGAAACAAGAGTCAAGGAACGTATGGGGTATTATTTATAAGGTGGAGTTGTTTTAGATGAGGTTAGAGACATAATTGTGTCCTAATGAAGATATCAAGTTGGAGTGTTTGAGGGATTGGTTATTAGAGGAAGAGAGGTGGTGGTGAGGGAATTGTGTCCAATGGTTTCGTAGCCGATGTTGGTATCATGGTCGGACAATGGAGAGGAGAGTAGAATAATAAGGGTTACATGAGGGAAGGAAGAGATCCTATGTGAATTAAATAAAATTGAAAAAAAGGACAATGAAATGTTTAGCTAGAGAAGTTGGTGATGTTGCAAGGTTCACATTATTCGCCAAGTCATTAGATCAATAAATTAGGTCCCAATAGTNAAGAGATCCTATGTGAATTAAATAAAATTGAAAAAAAGGACAATGAAATGTTTAGCTGGAGAAGTTGGTGATGTTGCAAGGTTCACATTATTCGCCAAGTCATTAGATCAATAAATTAGGTCCCAATAGCATTACTCAAAAGTTATAGGAAAACTAATTTACTGGTCTCCAATTTTTTAGGACTAATTCCAATCCTTCCAAGCATGAAAATATGAAGCGAGTAGCGGCGATGGATGGCAACACCNATTACTCAAAAGTTATAGGAAAACTAATTTACTGGTCTCCAATTTTTTAGGACTAATTCCAATCCTTCCAAGCATGAAAATATAAAGTGAGTAGCGGCGATGGATGGCAACACCGATGATGACAATTCACAAGGCATGCTGGTAGCAACATTCTTTTGTGACAATGATTCCGACTACGAAACAATGACGATGGGTTGCTATATTCAGACGAATCAGATCATATTTTACAAACACTGCCGAAGATAATGGTGGCAACAGTTGCAACATACAGTGATAAGAAGATGATTTCACACTGATACAATGAAAACCTAGATCAAACTATAGAAGGGAAAGAGCGAAAGTAAACCTATTCGCAACTATCTAATATTCATAAAGAAGAAATAAGTCCAAGAAATACTATATAAAAAACCATCCAAGAAAAAAACTGGACTACCTATAATAAAATAGACAAAATNCACTGATACAATGAAAACCTAGATCAAACTATAGAAGGGAAAGAGCGAAAGTAAACCTATTTGCAACTATCTAATATTCATTAAGAAGAAATAAGTCCAAGAAATACTATATAAAAAACCATCCAAGAAAAAAACTGGACTACCTATAATAAAATAGGAAAAAANAAGAAATAAGTCCAAGAAATACTATATAAAAAACCATCCAAGAAAAAAACTGGACTACCTATAATAAAATAGACAAAATCAATAGTTAATGCAATCTAATGGTATGTAATACATGGAACATTGATGTTTTACGAAAAAGAAAGATAAAAAGTGAGTATTTATTGGGGTTAATGGTGAAAAATCTTTAGTTAGATCAACTCCTACTATCCATTGTGAGGCTATTAGGGTTTGTTTAGTTCTTTTTCCCCACAAAAGTAGATAATCAAAAGATTGGAAGTACGGTTATCCACATATGATAACTGTAGTGGAACTGATTGCAAATAGGGGAAGGGGTGGGGGGGGGGGGAAGAATTGGCCGCATTAAAGTCATTTCCTTGGGAGTTTCGTTTGATATCCAAAACTACTTAACAAGAGTCAAACTTGTGTATAATGTTGGGGTGAACCAAAAAAGTTAGGGTAGAGTTGGATTTAAAAGTTGGTTAGCTGAGCATCATGTAGTCAAAAGAGTAATTATGAACCTTGTAAACCAAACAATTTTCCACAACCCCTTGGTGTTATCTTGCACTTGGAAGGAGTATAAAAATATATAAATACAATGATAATTTGATTCTTCTTTAGAAAAAATACAGATCATTCTTCCTAAGCATTCCCACAAAATACTTCTTTTTTTTACGATGGTTTCTCTTTTGTTTTGGGTATACGAGTTTTTGACTTTTAGTAGTATTATATGCTGTATGTTAAACGGGTCCAAAAAGAGGAAATGGTTACATAAATTGTTTATATTGATGGGGGAAATGACGATGTGGAAAAGAAGACAATAATCTCTATGATGCACTATAGACCAATTGAATGGATGTGGCGTAGCTTGGTATAGTATTTGTTTTAGGTACAAAATATCATGGGTTCAAATCCTGTCATTCCTAAAATATGACAGACAACTGGAACCATTCGAGAAGGTTTGACTAAGGGCATTTACTATTTGAACCTTGCGGTTGAATTTTTTTTTTACTATTTGAATCTTGAGTAAACTACTAATCTCTAACAATTTGAAATCCAAACTCAATGACTCAACCAAACTTCAATATGCACCAGAAAACAAAGGGTAAATTGAAAATAGGCACCAAAAAACACTTGCTACCTCTTTTTGCAGGGGTTTGAGTAACTGTTAGCTTAACTCAGGTTATCTTTCCCATTACAATAAAAGGATATCTAGGTGTACAATAGCTGTTTGGATTGAAAAAGCTGTATTTGTTTTTTCAAATTTATTATTACTTATCTTTTTCTTCTTAAATGTGCCTTGTTATAGGAAAAATGGAGTGGACACAGATATGAGATACTACTATGATCTGTTACCAACTTAATAGTATGGAAAAACTTAATAAAATGGGTATGGTTACGACTAGGATACATCAATAATATAATAAATTTATATTTTTTTTTGTTATCTGGTAAATACTATAATTACAATAGGTAAATGTGGCTAATTAAGGAAGCCAGNTTTTTGTTATCTGGTAAATACTATAATTACAATAGGTAAATGTGGCTAATTAAGGAATTCAAAACCAATATTTAACTAACTTGTTTGTGTAGGAGTAGTTGTTCTAAGAAATGGGCTGTAAATGACCCATTTTATATCCTTTTAACATGTGCTAATAGATAATGCTATATTAACCACCATGTTTTTTTAAAATTATATGGGTTTTTCAATGAATGGCACAGAGAGGATGGGCGTATTTGTCTTGGCTGCCCATATGTACCCAGAAATAAAGAAAAAATATGTTATTAATTACCGGATAGGGGATATGTATTCTCGAGCAATGTTACCTAATTCTTGAGTCGATTTGGTATGTAGTGCGGGTACAAGTACGTTGTATGATAATTTTTTGATTACGCGGTACGTTGAGGGTAGACTTAGTACGTTATTTTGGATTGGGTTGCGCTTTGAAAATTTATTTGGATCACTCTTATTACTATAAACTATATATATATATATATATATTTATTTATTTATTTATACATGTAAATATTAACTTTGTTTGGGTGATAACTTTCACCATTAAATAAAAATTATATTTGGTTGTGTATATAATTTATTAATATTGATTATATATTTTTTATAAGAATTCCAAAGCAAATATCAATCCCAAATACGGATCTATTACCAATTGTAATTGTAATAGGAATCGGTGACCAATGAAGATACGAAGTTATTGGCTGATGGGCATTTGCAAATTAATACACCAAAAATTTGTTTGACTTTTTTACCCCTTGATTCCCTTATGCAAAATGTCTTTCTCGTTGTAGAAAATGTGTAAATATGCATCTTTTATCTTTTAGTCTTCACCTACAATAACTACGAGGAAAAAAATATACGGCACACCTACCAAGTATTAAAAGCATGAAACAGAGAGAACTTTTCTCCGTTTCTTTGCCTTTTTGGAGCTCCAAGATGAATAGCTCAAGCCAAGGATGTAGAGGCATGCCTTTCTCTATCTTTCACCTTTCGCTTATTTTGGAACAAAAGCACAACCCACTAGATTCAATCAATAATGAGAGTGACAAACAATCGATCGCGAGATAGTCCAAGCTCTGTATTCCGCACGAGGATTCAAGGTAGTTCAATCTATCGAGATAGTGCAGATTTAATATTCTATAGAACTACAGATCAATCGAGATAGGGGACCATTCAGTTTTGTATTCTATTTCATCTTTTTTCAACTGGTGTACCTAAAATTTATGCCATCGCCATTCTTGTTTTTTTCCTTGTGTTAGAAAGCCTTATTTTAGTAATTGGATTCAATTTGGAGCTAGGGTTTAAGTTTGGGGTCACCAATTTCGACCATCCCCCGGCCCGACCTAGATCGTGGGTTGTGATTGGTATTAGCATTCCTAGTCGATGCACATCAAATATTAACAATTGAATCCATAGATACCAAAATCGTAGATATCCTAGGCGTCCCATTGCCATAGGCCGGTGTCGTGCAACCCGAAATTAGGTGCATTCACTATCAAAATCTCCCAAATCCTTGACCCAAATTTTAAGTGAAATTCTAAATTCAGTCTCGATCCATGTAAACCCAAATTTTAACCCTAACCCCAATCTTGAATTATGGTTTGTTTTGGAACTCTTACTAGAAAAATAAAACAAATATTAGTCAATTATGTATAATTGAATAATTAGATATAATTAAATAATAAAAGCAATTCAGATGAGTAACATACATGGGCAAATCTAGTAAGAGGCCACTTATATTTTTTTTTGAAATCTTACATTTTCATTATCAACAATATTTTTAGGTGAATATAAGTTGTGATTGGTCTACAAATACATATTTATTCAGTTTTGTTGTTTTGGTACTTTCTTTAGTTGACTTTGATTTATAGAATTATGAGTTTTTTTTTAATCTATGTTCTTAATTTGAAAGTGACACTATTTGCAATTAATTTGTAATTTGCCTTTATTTCTGTGACTTACGGTCTCTATTTTTATACGACATGGAAGATAATTTGTCAAATAAATTAAAGGGAAATCTTCATTTACTCTCTGTGGTTTTTTCTTTTTGCAAATCACCTGCTCACGTTTAGAAATAAATGCAGAGCTCCAATGTGATTGTGGACTAATGTGCCCGACTAACTTTGTAAATAGAAAGATCAAAATGAACATAATACCCCTTTTCTCATTCTCGGGCATACCTTACCCCTTCTTTTGGTGACCCATCTCCATCTCCATCTCCTTATATCTCACTTTAAAGAACCAGCACCATGACGCAACACTTGAACAACATTTTTACATATCATACTACCACAAGACTACAACACCTCTCAATTCCAATGAATCCAACATGGAAAATGGCAGCAAAATTGATAGAAAAATCGAACCAATGCCAACAGAAAAAATCTGCAAATTTGGCGAAATTTTTGAAGAAATTTATAGAAATTCAGCATAATTTTGGCGAAAAATCAATTCCGGTTATCAGTTGAGAGTTTTCAAAATTGCGGTATGAAGAGTGTGAAAGAAGACCAGAGGAGGGNTTATTTATTTATTTATACATGTAAATATTAACTTTGTTTGGGTGATAACTTTCACCATTAAATAAAAATTATATTTGGTTGTGTATATAATTTATTAATATTGATTATATATTTTTTATAAGAATTCCAAAGCAAATATCAACCCCAAATACGGATCTATTACCAATTGTAATTGTAATAGGAATCGGTGACCAATGAAGATACGAAGTTATTGGCTGATGGGCATTTGCAAATTAATACACCAAAAATTTGTTTGACTTTTTTACCCCTTGATTCCCTTATGCAAAATGTCTTTCTCGTTGTAGAAAATGTGTAAATATGCATCTTTTATCTTTTAGTCTTCACCTACAATAACTACGAGGAAAAAAATATACGACACACCTACCAAGTATTAAAAGCATGAAACAGAGAGAACTTTTCTCCGTTTCTTTGCCTTTTTGGAGCTCCAAGATGAATAGCTCAAGCCAAGGATGTAGAGGCATGCCTTTCTCTATCTTTCACCTTTCGCTTATTTTGGAACAAAAGCACAACCCACTAGATTCAATCAATAATGAGAGTGACAAACAATCGATCGCGAGATAGTCCAAGCTCTGTATTCCGCACGAGGATTCAAGGTAGTTCAATCTATCGAGATAGTGCAGATTTAATATTCTATAGAACTACAGATCAATCGAGATAGGGGACCATTCAGTTTTGTATTCTATTTCATCTTTTTTCAACTGGTGTACCTAAAATTTATGCCATCGCCATTCTTGTTTTTTTCCTTGTGTTANCGAAATTTTTGAAGAAATTTATAGAAATTCAGCATAATTTTGGCGAAAAATCAATTCCGGTTATCAGTTGAGAGTTTTCAAAATTGCGGTATGAAGAGTGTGAAAGAAGACCAGAGGAGGGGGTCACAAGATTTGTAGCAAGAAGAGCAAAAGAGAGGTTGTGGTGCACCAAGACTTCAATTTCTAGTAGTTGTGCTCTACTAGGTCACAATCTTTGTTGCATTCAGAAACACATAAACCTNAAAAATCTGCAAATTTGGCGAAATTTTTGAAGAAATTTATAGAAATTCAGCATAATTTTGGCGAAAAATCAATTCTGGTTATCAGTTGAGAGTTTTCAAAATTGCGGTATGAAGAGTGTGAAAGAAGACCAGAGGAGGGGGTCACAAGATCTGTAGCAAGAAGAGCAAAAGAGAGGTTGTGGTGCACAAGACTTCAATTTCTAGTAGTTGTGCTCTACTAGGTCACAATCTTTGTTGTATTCAGAAACACATAAACCGNATGTTCTTAATTTGAAAGTGACACTATTTGCAATTAATTTGTAATTTGCCTTTATTTTTCTGTGACTTACGGTCTCTATTTTTATACGACATGGAAGATTATTTGTCAAATAAATTAAAGGGAAATCTTCATTTACTCTCTGTGATTTTTTCTTTTTGCAAATCACCTGCTCACGTTTAGAAATAAGTGCAGAGCTCCAATGTGATTGTGGACTAATGTGCCCGACTAACTTTGTAAATAGAAAGATCAAAATGAACTTAATACCCCTTTTCTCATTCTCGGGCATACCTTACCCCCTTCTTTTGGTGACCCATCTCCATCTCCATCTCCTTATATCTCACTTTAAAGAACCAGCACCATGACGCAACACTTGAACAACATTTTTACATATCATACTACCACAAGACTACAACACCTCTCAATTCCAACGAATCCAACATGGAAAATGGCAGCAAAATTGATAGAAAAATCGAACCAATGCCAACAGAAAAAATCTGCAAATTTGGCGAAATTTTTGAAGAAATTTATAGAAATTCAGCATAATTTTGGCGAAAAATCAATTCCGGTTATCAGTTGAGAGTTTTCAAAATTGCGGTATGAAGAGTGTGAAAGAAGACCAGAGGAGGGGGTCACAAGATCTGTAGCAAGAAGAGCAAAAGAGAGGTTGTGGTGCACAAGACTTCAATTTCTAGTAGTTGTGCTCTACTAGGTCACAATCTTTGTTGTATTCAGAAACACATAAACCGTTATCTCCTTCTTTGCGAACAAATGGTAGAAACTTTCGTCACCTTTGTTGGAATCAAAACAAAGAAATCTTTGATTGTCAATGTAGGGGCCTGGGGTTGCTGGTAGCCGGAACAATCTGTTCATATTTTGTCACTGACCGCACCATGGCTTTGCCACAATTTTTGGATTTCCTGTTTTCATTGTTCTTGGGAGATGAGGAGGTGGCTGGCGGTGGTTCGTTGATAGATAGAGGAGGTGGGTGGTTGTCAGTGGAGATGAGGAGGTGGTTGATAACTGGACAAAGCATGTGGGTGGACGTAGGAAGAGATGAGGAGGTCAATGTTGGTGGTTGATTAGTGGACAAAAGGTGGATGCGGGTGGTTGTGGAGATGTCTCTACATGCGTGCATGTGAGAGAGAGTGAGATGGACTGAGAGGCGGTGGGAGTTGAGGGCATTTTGTCATTTTAAAAAACTTTTTTGGCCACACTCTCGCATATAACACTCAACTCAAATCACCTGTTAACTTTGATAGAAACTGTAACCGGGCACATTAGTCCAAAAACCATGTGGCGGTTATGTGTGTATTTTAAACTTTTGGCTGGCTGGTGATGTGCATAAAGGGTAAACCATTGGGGGTAAAATGTAGTTTACCCTGGCTGTAACCTAATGGATGATTGTTAACTTGATTTTATATAGAGAAAGATATTTTTGGTGGCATTGATCAAAACATTATCATACATTGCTTTTAAATATAGAAGTTCAGCGGGGTTAATTGCAAACTTTTTGTGAAAGGTTGTGATTAATCTATTTTTGTTTATGCCATTGATTTTTGGTTCTTTTGTGTTCAATGAATTTTTTTGTTTCAAATATGATATAATAAATATAATCATATTATTTCACTTTATTGATTGGAAGAAANTATGCCATTGATTTTTGGTTCTTTTGTGTTCAATGAATTTTTTTGTTTCAAATTTGATATAATAAATATAATCATATTATTCCACTTTATTGATTGGAAGAAGACAAATTAAATGTTGTAGTTAAAGTGTCCATCTAGAAGAAATTTTTTGACTCTAGTACGGGTTACAAAAGTGAACCAAGACTGAAAACAGAGGTCCAATTCGGCCTACCCTCACCTTGTATCAAAAAAGGCATCGTACCATATATCAGATCAAACCATGATCTAGGTAACATTGGTGAACCTAAACGGAACATCCCGTCTTCGTAGCTTTTGTTCCTCCTAAGTCCTACCGTATGACTTATGGAACCAGGGAGATAGGACGAGACATGGGCCCACCTCTTCGTTCATTCCTTTATGTATTAAATCCATGGTTATTAGTATCGTTCAACATGTCACGTTACACAGTGAAAACAATACAAATTGTATTTTTGTATTATTTTTGCATTGTATCATATGATACAGTAAACGATACATCCAATACTGCCGATACATGAAACTCAATAAAACGGCATTGTTTCATCTGGGCACTTATTTTTTGAAGCCCTAAACACGAAGACGTTTCAATTAATAGGGCTTTAAAAAAAATCTGAACTCCAGCTTCGAACCATAGAAACCTTGATCCTCTTCCCTCTCTCTGTGTCGCATGCAGCTTCGAACAAGTGGCTCTCTTCTCTGCTCTCCTCTCCTCCATCTGCAATCATCTTTTCTTTGAAAATCATCAGCTGGGGCCGTCTTCCTCATCAACATCATCAGCCGGAGTTGTCTTTATCATCAACTGGTTCTGCGAGGACTCCAACTGAAACCCTAGGCATCCACTGGTTATGCGAATTTGTGCTGCTTCTTGTTCTTCTCCTCTGATTCCTCCAGCTCATTTGCCTGCAACATAGACCCATAAATCCAAATGTAAGTACTAATTTAACAAATTTATTTTGCCTTATTGATTATATATCTATATGGTCCTGATACACAAGAAAATTTATGATTAATGTTAGTGTTATTCAAACAGAAACACTCCCTAAAATTCTGTAATTTGGTTGAGAAGAACAAGGTTTGTCAGTTGTGAATTGTATACTTCGGATCAAATTACAGTGAGCATCGCTGGAAGCCTATGGTTTGTTCTTTAAAACTCAAATTTCTGTGGTGCAATGAAGATGAGAACGACTGAAAAATCTGCTAATGATCCCACATGGGAGCATTATGTAAAAATAGAGGGATCAAGATTGATATTGAAATACATTTATTGTGGAAATATGTATTGGGGAGGCATTTCAAGAATGAAAAATCATTTAGCATGTAATCGTAAAGATGTAGCAGCATGCAAGAAATGCACAGAGGAAGGGACTGAATTTTTTAGGCAATTGCTCGTAATCATCTAGTTAGTTCATGTAGGCGTAAACATCTCTTTTTGGTTTACTAGGCCTCTTGGACGCTGTTAAACAATCATCTATTTCAAAAGTTTAAGGAGAGGTGTAACTTAAGCATTTATATTTCAACATGTCCCTCACGTGCTGGCTAGAATTTGATTCTAGTATGTGAAAATCTTTTAATAATTAGGGTGTCGGCAAGATTCGAACACAGGACCTCATGCCTTGATACCATGTTAAACAACCATCTACATCAAAAGCTTGAAATGTTAGAGAGGGTGTAACTTTAAGTATTTATACTTCAACAAACAAAATCGTACTTTTGTTTCCTTTTATGATCATTTCCTATTTGGAATTTTCATCAATATTTGATGTGGTCCACGTATCTTTTTTCTTTATTAAACAATTTCTCTTTCTCTCACTTGGCAACCAAAATTGTATATTCCACAAGTACGGAGTGGCAGATTTCTACAAATTATGTCAGTTATTGCTGTTTCACAGTTTTGAATTATAAACTCCGGTGGGGCCAAATGAGCCCATGATTATGATTAATACTGATTATACTTCTTTGATATGGCACTAAGTTTCTGACTGTCTGATTAGTCCCATAACCCTTACATTTTTTTCACGGAAAGTATCATAACCCATGCCTTGTTTGTAATGCCACCCTAGACTGAAAATTGTGATGAATGTGAAATCTGAAGCTATCTGTTGTATCTCAGCGTTTGTTTGTCATAACCAAGTGTGCTATGGTTGTTATGCACTGTCCAGGTTTGGTGGTAAGTTTGCATAAGAAAGTAATTGCTATTTGTTCGCAGGTACAGAGCAATGAATTCAGGAAAGTTTCCAACTGTTTCTGATGCTCTAAAAGAAGTCGGTGGCTCTTACTATCATATCAGAAAGATTGTTCAGGAGCTAGAATATAATTCTAAAATATCGGCTATGAACGNCAGGAAAGTTTCCAACTGTTTCTGATGCTCTAAAAGAAGTCGGTGGCTCTTACTATCGTATCAGAAAGATTGTTCAGGAGCTAGAATATGATTCTAAAATATCGGCTATGAACGCAAGGAATGATACTTTATTAGAAAAAGAAGTAGCTCAAGAGGATGAAATGTCGGTAGTAGTAGAAAAGGTATCAAGGCATCAAATGACAGCGGAGACAGAAATTCATACAGATGTTCAGATGAGCAGTGAGACTTTACTGACACAAGAAGTAGCACAGGAGAATGAATCGTGTGCTGAAGTTGAAGTATCAAAAAATCAAATATCCAGTTTGGTAATATTTGGATAAAAAATCAGAATGTCTCACTAAGATTTTATTTTAATCTATTGAATTTTTTGATCAATAGGATGATTTCGATCTCATAATCATTTAGTTTACAAAATCTAATATTTTTTGGTGGGTGGGTTGGGGTGCCTCGTCCTGGGGTTGGACTCCTTGAATCCTCTTTATTCCTTTTGTTGATTGGTCTGCGAAATATTGGATTTTTTCCTAGGAAAGCTGTATGGTTTTTTTTAAACTTCCTGACTCTGCTTCATTCCTGTTTCTTTCAAGTCAGACTGCAATACTTCATTCTATTGCAATTTTGTGTAGAAGTTTTTTTATCCATAAAAAATACTCCATAAAGGGAAGCCACACATCAATTATATGCAAGCTCTTTTGTGGTCACTTAAATTAGTGAATTCCAAATATTCCATCATACTTGTGCATGTCTTGCAAAGGGATGGATTTGTCACGTCTTCGTGCCTCTGTGTGGTACTGATGTTTGTTTAATATGCATGGCGGTCTGCCAATTATCTTCTACGATTACCTAATCAGTATATAGTTTTAATGTAGGGTGATAATTCACTAAGTCACCAGACAAAGGCGGAAGGTAAGGGAGTTTTGCATCCATGTCGTGAGAAACCAGTGGATAATATAAAAGAGAAAACATCCTCTGAAGAAATCATGGATTTTGAAGGTTCAAAGCCCCAATATGAGCAGCAACGAGATTCGCTTGAAGTAGAAAAGTCTGTCAAGTGAGTTATCTTTGTCTTTAATTTTTTCTACAACTTTTTATTTTTATTGAATACAATTTTATTGTCTTTGAGGCAGTCAGCAGTTTGCTTCTTTAAAAACNGGTTTAGTATGGGCTTATGTATATATGAAATCTAGTTTTCAGTGCAAGTTCTACCCACGTATTCAGGGTTTTTGACCCAACCCAAGTGGTTGTAAAAAAATATTCACAAAAGAGGGTGGGTTTGAAAGTATTTTCCAAATTCAAGTAGTTTTAAAAACGTCATTTGGTTTGACGTTTTTAAGTCAAAAGATGTTAGTTGGTCTGACGTTTTTTACTAAAATTGTACACAATTTAATCACCTAAAAACGTTCGTTCATTTGATGTCTTGNAATACAATTTTATTGTCTTTGAGGCAGTCAGCAGTTTGCTTCTTTAAAAACGAACATCTGTGTAGTTGTATCTAGGACGGCAGTTGTGCAGCCAAAAAAAAAAAAATCGAGGATGGCAGTTGGTCTAATATCTTAGGGTAAGCAGCTCTGCCCCTAATTGGAAGAGTATGCTACAAGCCTGTAAACATGGTTGGGGTTGGTATGACATGGGGTTCATTTATGATCAGGAGCAGAGCTACATTAGGACAAGGGCCCCGACTTTTAAATCTCCTTTACATATTACCCATAACTTTGTTTAATTTATTGAATTTGGCCCCCTTATTGATAATTGGTAATGTGAACGAATTTTTTTGATTTTTTTGTAAGTTAGTAGTCCATTGTCTCCCTAAAACAAATGTTTTATTTTTTTGATTAAATAAAATATGTGAAATGTCAAAACCGGTATATATATATTGATTAAATATTTTTGGATTTTTTTTTATCCTTTTTGCTCATATTTTATTTAGGATAAATAGAAACTAGTTTCATCGAATAATTTAGTCTTAAATCTTATATTCCTGTCATGTTTAGATTTCAANATTTTTTTTTATCCTTTTTGCTCATATTTTATTTAGGATAAATAGAAACTAGTTTCAACGAATAATTTAGTCTTAAATCTTATATTCCTGTCATGTGTTAGATTTCAATNTATTTAGGATAAATAGAAACTAGTTTCATCGAATAATTTAGTCTTAAATCTTATATTCCTGTCATGTTTAGATTTCAATTTTTTTTTTTGTATTGATTGTGCACATATCTCCCTAAACCCCGCATGAACGAGAGCCTCATACACCGGGCTGCTGTGATGAATTTCTTTAGTCATATTTTGCCCCCCCCTAAACTTGAATGCTGGCACTGCCCCTGTTTATGATTCCCCCTCAGGGTTATGATTACCATGTCTGTTCCAGCATGTGAAGTGGCTTCTTACAATTTAGCACTAGTCTTTTTTAGCTGGTGTAGGGGTGAAGGGGTTTTGTTACATAGCCTCTTTCACTCGTACCATTGGGAAGACACAGGATTTTGCCAATAACCTCTCTTCCAAGCCACTTGTGGAGATGAATGACACGTTTGTGTGTCTATGTGTATATACATGTATGTATATTGTATATGGAAGTGTAAGAGCTTTTCTTTGGAGTTGTTTAAATATCCGAATTTTTCTTGTTTCATTTATTTACAGCACCATTCAAATTTACTCCCTTTGTTTCTTGTATATTTTTCAATGAGATTGTTTGTACTCTTGCCATTTATGAGTTGGACCTTGAGGCAATGTGCAAATTGTCGTTGTCTAGGGTTTTGTCAGAAGAACGGGCTGGTGACGAAGAGCTTCGAAGAAAACAATCCATATGGGGTAATCTGAGGTCTCTTGCAGATGGAATTATCAACATCTGGAGAAAACTGTGAATTTCTGTTGGGGTGATAATTTGAACTTTTGAATCGTTGCACACCGTAGGATGAAACTAGAAGTGTAACTTTGGTATGAAATGTCCATCTTTTCAGCTAATTCTCCTGTTGGTTTTCTTTTTAGCATACGACAGCCTTCTTATATATATAATCTAATTCTTATAAAATGTATATAGTCCTATCGACAAAAAAATCTTATTATGTTCTGTGGCTGTCACTTCTCAGGAGTATTCCTCTAGTGTCATTGTATTGGCTGGTGATTGCAATTTCCCTGGTTTAAAATCTCTTATATTTGATCAGTATGTAGAGATGCATAGCAACGGCAATAGTAGCAATTCAAAATTATTTTCGGAAAGTTCTGTTCTCTTGTATCACTCGTTCAATTTTCCTCTTTGTGAAGTTTGTTAAGATCATCATATTTATCTGTAGTTGTGAAGTTGAATTGCATGTGTGATATGGTCTGCATATGTTAAGATTCGATTGAGATGCCATGAAGAAATTCCTAGTTGAGTTGTTATTCTATGAGGCACGATCAAGGAAGGGTTTAGCTTTGACAAAAAGAGTGCCACTGATAGATGGTCGCTCCCGGTTCTAAATATGGTAGCTGTGGATTTGATATGGACCAACTCATTGTCCTAATAGATATCTACTATGACAATCCAGCCTAATTCCACATGATTTTTGTTCCCTTTGCCTAATGAGCTCTCGATTATATATTGGTTCATGACAGTTTAAGATTACTATCCACTTATTGGNGGTTTTCTTTTTAGCATACGACAGCCTTCTTATATATATAATCTAATTCTTATAAAACGTATATAGTCCTATCGACAAAAAAATCTTATTATGTTCTGCGGCTGTCATTTCTCAGGAGTATTCCTCTAGTGTCATTGTATTGGCTGGTGATTGCAATTTCCCTGGTTTAAAATCTCTTATATTTGATCAGTATGTAGAGATGCATAGCAACGGCAATAGTAGCAATTCAAAATTATTTTCGGAAAGTTCTGTTCTCTTGTATCACTCTTTCAATTTTCCTCTTTGTGAAGTTTGTTAAGATCATCATATTTATCTGTAGTTGTGAAGTTGAATTGCATGTGTGATATGGTCTGCATATGTTAAGATTCGATTGAGATGCCATGAAGAAATTCCTAGTTGAGTTGTTATTCTATGAGGCACGATCAAGGAAGGGTTTAGCTTTGACAAAAAGAGTGCCACTGATAGATGGTCGCTCCCGGTTCTAAATATGGTAGCTGTGGATTTGATATGGACCAACTCATTGTCCTAATAGATATCTACTATGACAATCCAGCCTAATTCCACATGATTTTTGTTCCCTTTGCCTAATGAGCTCTCGATTATATATTGGTTCATGACAGTTTAAGATTACTATCCACTTATTGGCTCTTTTACTCAGTTGCTTCCTAAGAGATGTGGTTAGGAGGATGACTCTTACCATGCTAGTTGCGAAATTGAGCCTACAAAGATGGCCAGGAGTTTGTCCGAAGTTGTAACTACTATGAATGTTCACCAATATCCTGAGACGTCCGCTAGAAGAGCTCACACCAATGACATGTCAACATTCTGATCGGCGCAAAAAGATAGTAACAGTTCGCCTCATCACAAATATAAAAGTGTTAATTCTAAGAGATAGTTCAAGTAGTAATAAGAATAAGCTGTAAATTAAGACGTTTTGAATTTAAATATTAATAATTTTTTAGAGGCAGNTGATAGATGGTCGCTCCCGGTTCTAAATATGGTAGCTGTGGATTTGATATGGACCAACTCATTGTCCTAATAGATATCTACTATAACAATCCAGCCTAATTCCACATGATTTTTGTTCCCTTTGCCTAATGAGCTCTCGATTTTATATTGGTTCATGACAGTTTAAGATTACTATCCACTTATTGACTCTTTTACTCAGTTGCTTCCTAAGAGATGTGGTTAGGAGGATGACTCTTACCATGCTAGTTGCGAAATTGAGCCTACAAAGATGGCCAGGAGTTTGTCCGAAGTTGTAACTACTATGAATGTTCACCAATATCCTGAGACGTCCGCTAGAAGAGCTCACACCAATGACATGTCAACATTCTGATCGGCGCAAAAAGATAGGAACAGTTCGCCTCATCACAAATATAAGAGTGTTAATTCTAAGAGATAGTTCAAGTAGTAATAAGAATAAGCTGTAAATTAAGACGTTTTAAATTTAAATATTAATAATTTTTTAGAGGCAGATCACGAGAAATGTATTCTTTATGAATACTTTAGTTTCGGCATAAATGATTTGTCTTTAATCGAATTAGGAAAAATGTTTAGTTGATGTGCACTTAAATTAGCCTGGATAGCGCTGACTATTAAATGAAAAAACCAAATATAAAAGTGCTGCGTTTCTGTTCTGTAGCAAGCCATATCACAGTTTTTTCACATCCATTCTTGCGCTTGATGGGTAATCCAGATGTAGAAAACATTATTACATCTTTCCAAAAAAGAAAAAGAAAAAGAAAACATTGTTACCTACAAAGAGTACATATCATGTTTTGAATAAGGAACTGCAAGTGTAAGGTATTCCCAATGAACACTCTGCTATAAGCTACACAATAATAGTTTGTTCATAGCTTACTAGAAACAGCCAAATACTTTGTATGACGCCCTTGAGCAATTAGTTTCCTTGTCTTTTTCTTCCTCAGCTCCACGCTGACAACAGCAATAGCCTTTCCGACTAGTAATGCCTTGGACTCTATCTCAACTTCCTCCTAAACAAACATTAGGTGTTGAATGAAAAGGTTGCATATTCATATTTGCCAAAATGGACCACGTAGAATGAAATGAAGAAACCCGGAAAGAAACATTGCAAAAACAACCAGGTTCAGATGACTAAAAAGTGCGAAAAGCATCATTAAAAACCATCATAGTTTACGAAATACCACAAATTACTTAAACAGAAACACATATACCATGTACAAGGCAGGCATGTCACCATTACGTTATGAGTCTTCCTATATACATCTAGAACAACTCTCCTTGACGATAAATTACCAAGCAAAGCAACCCGCAATTCATTGAAGGCTCCACATTCTTCAGATTCAACACTGCCACGTTTGAGTAATCTAAACAAGCCAATTCATTTGTTACGATCCCACGGTTCAGTATGAGTTTATATGAATGTATATTAATTCTTGAGCACTTTTTACTTGCAAGTTGGTTTTTCAGGGGTGAGCTCTATCAATGAGTTCATAATAATTAATAGCAGATCCAGCCACCACAAAGTATGTGATCAAACGCATAATGGGAATGGAAGTATTGACCTATAGGTTGGATTAAAATAACTTGGTATCATGCATGTGCATAATGTTATCTTATTGAATACTGATTAACAAATAGAGCCTCTAAAAGAAAAGGGTTACTATTAGATCAGTGTCGATAAAGTGAATTATTGTGGATGTTAACTACAGAAATGAGATGAAATATTATGATTTGACATTGGTTTAGTATGGGCTTATGTATATATGAAATCTAGTTTTCAGTGCAAGTTCTACCCATGTATTCAGGGTTTTTGACCCAACCCAAGTGGTTGTAAAAAAATATTCACAAAAGAGGGTGGGTTTGAAAGTATTTTCCAAATTCAGGTAGTTTTAAAAACGTCATTTGGTTTGACGTTTTTAAGTCAAAAGATGTTAGTTGGTCTAACGTTTTCTACTAAAATTGTACACAATTTAATCACCTAAAAACGTTCGTTCATTTGATATTTTTTAGCTAATCACGTCAAATGGACTGACGTCAAATATTGAGAGCCCCTCCCTTGCCTCTTCTATTCCAGCCTCTCTCCCTTGCTTTCTTACCTTTTATTTTATTGACTCTATTTTTTAGGTTTTTTTTTGACTGTTAACACAATAGATTTTTCATTAGTCAATTAATTGGATCCACTGCAACTCGATCATGGCTAGAGAAAGATTCAATAACATGGACGCCCTTTCAATTTTAATTTTTTTTTGAGACGAGCTTACATTTAAAAATTTTAATATATACAATTTTATGTTTCATTGTTACAAACTTCTTAATATTTATATAATCAACTATACTAAATGTTACAAACTTAATATTTTCACTGTAGTATTGCTATTTTGATCAGTGTAGAATTACTGTTTTTAATTTTGTGTATAGGTATATGGGATTCAACGACGAATTCACAGTGGGGGCAGTGGAGTAGCTGCCCCCACTGAATTTTTTTTAAAAATGTGGGGTGTACGTATAATTTCAAAAAATTCAGAATTTATTAGACATTTGCCCCCACTAAAAAGTTTTAAAAAATTTATGGGGCTTGTAGTTCTCTTTGTATTTTATTGTTTTATGTATTGAATTAAAATTGGGGGGTTGTAGTCCTCTATTTATTTTTATATATTGAAATTGGGGGTTGTAGTCCTCTTTTATGATTTATTTTTTTATATATTTAATTGATATTGAGGTTTGTAATCCTCTCTTGTGTTTTATTTTTATATTTGATGGTACGTGAATAAGAATTTTAACCAAATCTCGGGAAGCGAGGTCAGATAAGGAGGTTAGACAAGGAGGTTAGATGGGGAGCTCGGAGCTCTGAAGCCCAAGTTTCGAGCTCCTCTCCGAGAAAAATCAGAGGAGTCAAGGAAAGAACAACTGGTCAGTAAGAAGAGTCCACAGAACAGTTAAAAGGCAGTTATCAAGCCGTGAAACTCTCAACCACCCAAGATCCCCTCCTAAAATCAAAGAGAGTTCCACAGATGAAGAGCAAAGATCTCGTTGCATATCCCTTAGAGAGACAAATAGTGCTATAAAAACTGTACAGTGCCTCCTTGAGAGGCAAGAGAAATTGGATACCATCAGAAATATTTTGTAAGCCATATTCACCATCAATATAGGGAAAAGGAAAAAGGAAAAAGAGCCTCCATTAAAGAGTGGACTAGTCGAGCTCCCGAGCCGGTGAACCATTATATTTTCACTGTGTAAATTACCCTAATCCCCCAACAATACTTCTCATGATCCTCACGAGCCTTGTGGCTCAGACCTAAGCTACCAAGCATAATCCATACCTTCTGCTCATCCACGTTAATTTACACCATCAGTTTGGCACCGTCTGTGGGAACGACTGTTCCTGTTAC